TAACTAATTTTTTTTAGAAATTATAATATTGATTATTATAAATTAAAATTAAAATCTTAATTAATGTAAATTAAAATTTCATCTTGGTTAATTGTTATATTTGACAAAAAAAATTTGAACTTCAAAAACAAAATGTTGTAAAAAACAAAAATATATATATTATATTTAACATTTTTCAAAAGTTTAAGGAAAACTTATCAACAATTAGAAAGAATTCCGTTAGTCAATGGAATGTTTGTCAAATAGATTATTTTGAAACAAAATTGATAGTTTATAAATAGTTTTGAAAAAAAAAATTGTTTATACACTAAACTGAAATAAATCATATAATTAATAGACTATTTATTGAATTTAGTCTTAAAAAAATGACACATAATTTATTATTTTACTACAAAATCAGTTTTTTTTTAAATATTAATGATATGTAAAATAAAATAGTTATATTTTGCTATCATAACTTATTTTTATTTTCATTCGTATTGATATAATCAAAGTTTAAATACTAAGTTGGTACTTATCTTCAAAATTTAAGGATTAAATTGGTATTATTTTCAAATTTTGAGAATCATTTTGGCATTAGACATTAAGTTTAAGAATAATTTTTATACTTTTTAAATTTTGGGGATAATTTTAATATAAAGTTAAAAGTTGAGAAACCAAATTAACATTTTAACCAAAACTAATTCACCGATGGAACTCCAATAAGCGAGCCCGATGGTCGCACGCCTCGTTAAGATAAATGAGATATTTATCAGATCTGAAAATCAAATTTTTAATTATTAACAACCAATAAAATTAATTCACTAACCATTATCTTTCTAAAAAAAATTATCACCGATGGTTCTTGCCACGTTCCTGAAATAGAAGTGAAAAAGGTCGAAGATGGATGTACGTGTCAACTTGTACCGAAGAAAGTAACAAAATCAAGTACCTACGGTACAGCTTAAGCGGATCTTTTCCTTTTAAAAATATATATAGAGAAATATTGAAATTGATATTAATTAAAAAAATAAAAATTAAGATATTTAGGTATTAAAATTATTAAAATATTTAATTATAATTATTAAATGAATGAAGTGTAATGTGAATTTTAATTTTATTAAATTTATTATTTAATTATTATTAAATATCTTAATATTTTTAATAAGATATCTTAATTTTTATATTAATTTCAATAATAATAATAATTAATTTAATAATTTATAAATTACAATGTAATTTTTATTTTAAACATAAATTAATAATAAAAAATTTATTTGTTACAATTTAATTCATGACTTATATTAGAAAAACACAATCAAATAAAATCCTGGAAAGTGCCTTTTCTTTTTTGGCGAACAATCCTAGGAAATGCTGAATCAAAGTCTTACATGAATCAGAGTTTCTTCAATCGTGGTAGCCATAATTGCCCTCTTTTCGTTCTTCAAATCCCCAAAAAAACACCTCAATTTGTATTTTTTAGAAGTCTGAACCTTTGTTACTCGCTGTCTCTGCTTGTATCTGTTGCTTTCTTTCAAAACAATTTCGCTTTTTTTAATTGTCATGGTTTGGTTGAGTTTTTCTTCTCTCATACGGTTCACTATTTGACTTTCAGTTTTCCACTAAAGTTCCTTTCTTTCTCCATCTGGGCATAGAAATTTTCAATCTTTTTCCCTTTCCCCCTCTTGAGGCTGCACCTATTTATTGGAAAAGGGTGTCTTGTATTGTCTGATTTCTTGTACATGGCCAGTGCATCTGGGTCTTTTCAACCTTCAGTTCCCAGCCTCAGGCAGGTGATTCAGCCTCCAGCAGGCTTTTCTCGATCTGGGTTTTCCTTATCTCAGCGAAATTTTAAGAAGACAGTGTGCTTCAGTACCGTTAAGGGTGCACAGAAGCATGTTTCTTCGTCTGAATCTCGTCTTCCCAGGTGAGTGTTTGCCTCCAATTCCTTTGTTCTATTGTTTGATTGGTTGGCTGTTTCATCAATTTCTCAGCAGTATGAGTTTCTAGTGCAATGGGGGTTAAGACTATAGCAGCTGTTTCGTTGGTGAAAGTTGTGTCAAACAAGCTTTGTATCTTTTTTTTTTTTTTTTTTCATGTTGTGTGGGGTGTGATCTTGGATCTCCACTTCTCCAGTTTAATTATTTCATTCTTTTCTTTGTTGTTTTTGTTGAGGGGAATAGAAATTCTTAGTTTGTTGTATGGTCATGGTTTCATTCACATTTTTCTGCTCCTGTGTGATGCTTGTTGACTACCTATTCTAATTGCTTTTGACTGATCAAATGGGAATTTATCCCGCAGAATTAAGAAATAGTCTTTTATTAGAACATTCAGAGATTATTTGCTGGGGGAAAATGGTGATAATACTTTTGCAAGGATAAAATCCGATACGGAAATGGTACATAATTTTTTTTCGTGCTCTAGTTGAAGATTGTCATTGATGCATGGTAGTGTTGATGACAAGATGAAGTTGCCACGGATTCCTGGATTTTTTTTCTTGCTATAGTTAGCTTTTTTTGACTGCGGAGAGACAAATAAACAGTGGTGCCTTGCTGATTATTTTTTGTTTTTAAGATCTTTGTCAGACACTTAGTAGATCATAAGTTCCTTAGTTTTGGTTTTATGTTAGAATAAATAAATCGTCCTATTACTTCTTGTTGGAAATTTGATAAAGGAAAATTAACTTTGAGAATTAAGGTGACTGTTCACACTGCCTGCCAGTTCATTAGATGAAGTTCTGGTGACTGTTCTAGGCTGTTGGCATGAACTACTTTATTCAGTGTCAGCAACCTTAAGATGCATGGCTCCTGATTGTGCTAACCCAGTTCCACTTCTGAAAAAGGAACAAGTAATCCATGCATGATTCTTAAATCATAAACTGAAGGTTCGTTGGTTCCTGGGATAAATGATGGTGATCCCCTTTGGATGGTTATGTCTCTGGTGGCTAATATCATAATACTGCATTTGTTAGAGCGTATAAATTTCATTGGTGAGTTATATGGGAATGATATCTCTAGGCTTGCATGACGTTTGGTATCAATCTACTGGGAGCTTCAAGTCATCAAGTCTGGCTTCTTAAGTTCCAAAAATTTTAATCCATAATTGATACTAGTGAGAATGTGTATTCGAGACAGTAAAGATCCTAGGTAGTAGATACTGCTTCCGGAGGTCATCTGGTTGGACAAAGATCAATGTGCTTAACAAGTGATTTCTTTGACAACTGAATTTAATGAGTAAGGTTACTTGGAAATTGGGAAAAACTTAAGTTGCTTTTCTAGAGAACATTACAGATGATTGATTAATCTTTGATTTGCTTTGCTGATCATTCTTTCTCTGGGAATAAAACCCACAGGCTTGTCAGTAAAGGGTGCAAATTAGTCGGATGTGGCTCAGCAGTGCCAACCCTTTCAGTTTCCAATGATGATCTTGCAAAAATAGTTGATACTTCTGATGAATGGATCTCCATTCGTACTGGAATTCGCAATCGACGGGTTCTTTCAGGTTAGTTCATATTCTTGCTGCATGCTAGTGTCTTTGTTGGATAGTTGTCTATCCTTAGGATCTTTAACTTGGGTTTTGGGAAGAGTGCTCAGCTCTTGATTTTATAGTCTAGCTATGAGTTTGCTTTGACTTCAAGTGTAGCCAATATATGCTTTTTCTTAGTTTCTACCTTGAGCCGACGATTTTGATATTAAAGAAACCACTGCATGATCTCATGTTTATATCCTTTCACTGCCAATACAAACAGCTGTTTTATTTGTCATTGTATTTGTTGTTAACAAAAAGAGATGATATCTTTATTTTGTTATGCATTTCCATCTTATTTCACTGTGGAAATAATTATTTTTAAAAATTATTATAACAGGAAAGGATAGCTTAACAAGCCTAGCAGTTGATGCGGCAAGGAAAGCTCTTGAGATGGCAGATGTTGATCCTGACGATCTTGACCTAGTGTTGATGTGCACCTCTACTTCTGAAGATCTGTTTGGTAGTGCTCCACAGGTACAGGGTGATAGGCTAATCCATATTCAGAACTAAATGGAGTGGACTGAATCATGATGGTATTTTTGATGCTTAGAGATTGAGCCATATCTTTGCTCTTCTGTGTATATATATATTTTTTAATTGTTAGGTCCAAAGAAAGCTTGGGTGCGGAAAAGCCCCTTTGGCTTATGATATTAGAGCTGCATGTAGTGGGTTTGTGTTGGGATTGGTCTCAGCTGCTTGTCATATTCGTGGTAATGAATTACTTCTGGAGTAGGGAGGTTGCAGTTATTGGCTTTCATGCTTGCTAGAGTCAAACTTCTTTTTAAATTACAGGGGGTGGATTTCAGAATGTTTTAGTGATTGGGGCTGAAGGTCTTTCTCGATTTGTTGATTGGACGGACAGATCATCCTGTATTCTCTTTGGGGATGCAGCTGGTGCAGTAGTGATACAGGTAATGGTTTGGTTATCTATCTTAAGTTTTTATAGAATTGTTGTTTGAAACTTTGTTTTGACCTGCCTTTGTAATCCCCTCATCTCAGAATGACAAGAACCCTTGGGAACTACACCCCAAAAATTAGCTATTGATTGGGGTAGCCCAAGGCCATATAACATAAACCTCACATCTGAATCCCATTCTTCTTTGTATTGGGGATCCATGTTTCATACCTTGCTGCTGGGATCATAACACAGGATCTCAAAGCTACTTAAGCTATTTTAAAACTCAATTGGGCAACTACCATTTTTATTAAACCAACTTTGATCATTGATACTGTTGTGCTTGTAAGATTGTTATTTTGAATTACTAGTGAAATTGTTCTTACTACATTTCTGACACAATGATTTTGTAGGCCTGTGACAGCGAAGAGGATGGTTTGCTTAGCTATGACTTGCATAGTGATGGTGAGGGTGGAAGGTATGTGCTTTTTCATGTTACATGGCAAACAAACTTTGCATTATCCGTATGAGTAAGTTAAACTGTGCCATTACCCTTATTGCAGGCATCTCAATGCCACCATGAAAGAAAATAAAACAGATGATGAGTTGGATTCTAATGGTTCAGTGTTAGACTTCCCTCCTCGAAGGGCCTCTTATTCTTACATTCAGATGAATGGTAAAGAAGTTTTTCGCTTTGCTGTACGATGTGTTCCACAATCAATCGAATCTGCTTTAGAAAAGGCTGGTCTCACTACCTCCAGCATTGATTGGTTGCTGCTCCATCAGGTATGATATTTAGAGAATAGAAACAACAGTAGTTAAATACTAGTCATTTATATCATGTCAAATAGCGAAGTGCTGCTCGTAGTTACATACAACCATAAATTTACAAAATCAAATATAATTAAAATATAACTCACTGATAATACAGGCAAACCAGAGGATCATTGATGCAGTTGCAACACGGTTAGAATTTCCTCCGGACCGGGTAATATCAAATTTGGCAAACTATGGAAACACAAGTGCTGCATCCATTCCTCTAGCACTGGACGAAGCAGTTAGAAGTGGAAAGGTGAAGTCAGGGCATACTATTGCAACTGCAGGTTTTGGTGCAGGTCTAACATGGGGTTCTGCTATTGTTAGATGGGGATGAAAACTTGCCTTTTCCAGCCAATCAACCATAAAAAAAGAGAGAACAGAATTCGTTCCAACTGGGCGACGACTAGCTCGTGAATTCTTGCTTTCTGTTCTCAAATGTAATGGAGATGCATATAGGAAGGTTTCAGTTGAACATCAAATAAGCTTTTATTCTTTCTCTTCAAGTCCTTTACTTTTACCGTTTCCAAATCCGCTGTATCACCACAATGCGTGGCATATAATAAACATTTTCTTAACTTTAGAACGCCAGCATTTTTTCAGTTTGATAAACAATTCTAAATTCTACGTGCCTGTGGAAAACTGTATATTTATAAAATGTCATAGGTGGGAATTTTTTGTTTTACAATTCAGATTATAAAATACAAATCGTTAGATGACGAGACTACAAAACAGAAATTGTTATAAGCCACATTTTTGTCAGAGATTATACACTAACGAGCTGAAAAATTATGAATCCTAGCTTTAATCCTCTGTAATGTACCCTCTACTGCAATGTCGAATGCGTCTTCGATGCTTCTCAATCCCATTGAATTTCCATGCCTCCTATACATGACTCTAGGAATCAACTCCACAACCCTTTCCCCCTTCTTCATCACTTCACGCCTAAGCATTCCCATCAACACATTCAGAAGCCTTAATCTCTTGGACATCACTTCCTCCCTCGGTATGAACACCGAGAACTCCCCATACTGTTCCTTCAGCATATGCCACCCATACTGTATTTTTGCCGATAATTCCTCAAAGAAAACTGGCATGCAACCTGCAATGATGGAATCGAAAGTCGACCTCCTAGTAGGGGTATCACCGGGAGGCTGCAAGCAGAAGGTTGCTTGAAGCATGGGCCTCATATACCTCAACGGTTCATGCTCGCAAATCCCATTAGAGCAATCCACCATCTCACAAATTTTCGAATACTCACCAACGTTTTCTAGGGTGTGAATGCTGCTGTTATTGTTCTCGCATTCAATCCTAATACTCCTCCTGATATTAGGCGTGGCACCAACCCCTCCACCACCGGCAAACAACATCAATGTGCTCCTCTTTGACTTCCTCACGCGCTGCCTCGAAGAACGCTAGATTTGTAGGATGAAACGATGTAGGGTAAGGCACCGCATGCTCCTGCCAGGGCCAGGGTCTTGCCTACGGCACCAAAGCAGTTACACTGTAGAACTCCGGTAATTCAAGGAAGGAATTACCCCATATCGGTGGATAATTCTTCAATGGCTAAGGGAAATCCCAGGCGGGCCTAGCCATGAACCAGAAATGATCATGCCCCATATACCGTTCCTGTATTTCCGGTTCATCAGACTGCAGGATTCAAACAATCGAACACCATGTTCCATGCTAGAATTCACATTGGGACCGTAACCAGCATAGTAAGGGAGGTAAACCGCATTTGCAAGATTTGGGTCGACAGTGAGACATGGATATTCGAGGATCCTCCTATGGAAGATGAGTTCCAGTATCAAAGTATCGGTGCGGTACCAGCTCTGAGATTTGTTGTGGGTCTTGTGACCAAGGCCATGGTTAGCTAAACAAGGGCAGAAGTTATCAAAAAGTGGGTGTTCGGAGCAATTTGATAGAAGATCAAGATTAAAATGTGAAGGGAGGCTCCTGATGTAGATCCAACGGCCGCCGCAGTGCCCTGTAGCCGCCGTCGTTATCGGGTCTGACGAAGCAGTGGTCTGGATTTGCAGGGAAGATACAGAATTAGTAATCAAGACGAGGGAAAATAAAATGATGGTGACGGAGAAGGCTTCGATTTGGGTTCTGAACGCCATGGGAAGGGAGGTTTGGTCTTAAGAAGAGTTAAACCATCATACTAATGAGCTTGTTTTTCTGTTTCCTTTTTTACTGTTTCTCTGTATATCTTTGCAGCGATTTCTGAAATGAAGAAGCAATTTCAAAATTGATATTATTAAAAACCAAAATGTTTTTTTGGGGGGGGAGGGAGGTTGATCCGCCATTGTCGGTGGAAGAAAACAACCTCACATTGTAATAACCCGCCCTATGCGGCGGCGTTTCCTGGTTTACTGCCACACATGAATTTACAGCAGAGAAAGGGGGAAGACTTTTCAAAGTGTTAGAGAACTACAGACTAACCAATAACGTGATGACACGTAATCCACATCACACGGCTCAATACAAACTGATATACACAATGGTTATCTCCCTTTTCCTTATGGATCAAAAGAACAAAAAAAGAGATTTCTACTTCAGCATTCAGCACAGCTCGAATGGGAAGAATTACAGCGCAAATTTTCCTCATCCAGGATGAACAATTTGCAGGAATCATGAATTTGGAAAATAGCCTGAAATGTACAAACAGTTTTCATTAAAAACCAGGTGAACAATTCGGATTAAACAGAAGAGAAAGCAAAGAAAAAGAGTACAAATTCAGCAGAAGTTGAACCTTGAGCAGAAAAATTTTGGCGGGGACGAATAAATAAATCAGCAAAACCTCAAGATGGGCATGTTGCAACGTTCGAATTCAGCGAGCAATATGGGGTCCCTGAACCCAACAAGAAATTGGGATAGAGCTTCAAGAAACAGAGCACCCTGGTAAACATTCGTTGGGTCGATAATCTCTGAAATCACGGTCCTCCGTAACCTATTGGCATCCAGGAATACGGCCACCATCTCTTCCATCTCCTCCTTTACGGCTTCATCGATTTCCTTTTTCTTTCCCTCGCAAGAAACGCAGTCTTCCGCTATCTTCCCCATAATGGCCGCCTGCGCCTTCCTAACCCTTGAAACCAACCCGGGCACCATCAACCTTAACCCACATTCAATCTGCTCGATTCTTGTTATCATGCTTTTAGATGGGTTCTTCCAAGCCACCGGAAACTGCCACGGCTTATCAAGAAACTCGAGGTTTTGCCCAATTTGATTACGGCCCGAAGGGAGAAATCCATCGGTTTCACCATCATCCTCGTCCCTCCGGTTGTTGGCTTCGTCGATGAACGATCGGAGGAGATTGGTGAAGAGATACGGGTGAAGATCCCCGAGAAAAAGGAAGGGGATTTCGAGGGGATTCCGCCAAGAAGAAGGGAAAAGGAGGTAGGAGACATCACTGGAGGCGGCAAGGTCGAGGGAGTCGTAGTAGGAGAGGAAATGTTGGAGGAGCAGGTCGATGCGGAAAGAGATGAGGGTATGCAACGGCGAAGAAAGCGATTGACGGAGCAGAGGAAGGAGATTGTTCTTCAAGGTGTCGAACCACTCTGCGTAGAAATCTTTGAAGGTGCGTGTTGTGGATTTCTTGCGGAAAAGAGAGAAAGGACTCGGCATCCTGGAGAAGAAAACGAAAATGGTGAATTTCTGGGGAGAAGATTTCTTGATTTG